CCGCGCGTATGAAATAGTGCGTCACTTGCCACTACACCATATCCGCCCATTGGTAAAAGTAATTGTACTTAATTTCTTGTGATCAGCACCATGGATGGGTAACTTCACCTCAGCATTGAGACCATTAATTCTTTTAGAATCGCCCCGGTCCCGATTTGTAGTCGGAGGTAACGACCTACTTGCATGCTTGTACGATACCCGCAATGGCTTACCAGCGCACACCACGTTAAGGAGCTCACGCTGTGCATGACTGGAAATATCACTTCAGATGGGTAAGGGAAATGTCATATTTGCAAGCAGCTTCCTCTGTGTTGATTACGCTTCCATCGAAAGGAGTGGATAGGGAACTCGACAAGCTGGTAAAGGAAGTAAGATCATGCCTTCAAGCAGAAAAAGAGGAGTGAAAGCTCGACTGCGTCCACGTCAAGTGGCGCGAGAGTTTAGAGAAACTGGAAAACCGGGACGAAAAGAATCGTGGCTAGCAGCTCAAATATACCACGGGTAGGAAAGGGATCTAACACGGTCGGCATGAGGAGACAAACATATTCTCTTCTGAGCTGGATGCTCAGACTCCATCTCACTTGGGCCACACAAGTTCACAGTTATCACAATCTAGTTAGATTTTTCAAGTTACACGGATTCGACGTAATTTAGACACACTTTTATAGGTTTCGAGTAGATAAGCGGTAGGGTCGCTAGTGATTCTTCGCCTCTAGTTCCTCGGAATAGAATGGTACTTGGCAAGTGGTAGAAGCGCCGGTCACAAACATTAAATAGGGAGGGGCTCTTTATGTTTACGAAAATACTAATTGAATCACTATAATCGGCAGGTCAATACATACATCCAATTACAACAAGCTTCCGGCGATGTAAAACTGCCTTGCTACATGCTGAATTACCAATGCTTAAAACTAAATTGTTCCCTTTAATATATAGTTTCTTTTTGAAGGCACCGTTCACGATAACTTTGGGTAATCCAGATTATGATGAAAAATGGAAGACAAGATCGAAACTAGTGCGAATGAAGTGAAGAAACTGCGTGCATCGGTGTTTCCAAAGAGAAAAAAGGCTCCGAAAAACGTTAAAAAGGGGGCTAGACGAGAACGAAACCAGCAAAATGAAGAGTGGGTTGTCCGGACGAGCTAAACAGTGTGTTTCACTGT